TGACTTTGAAAATCTATTTCATGAAAAAAAAGAATTCAATTACTCTAAAAGTAATTTGGTATGAAAGTTTTTTCGTATTCGAGTGTATGCTTGATCGCTCACTACTATTTGTCAATACTGTTCAAATTTGTTGTTTTTGTTTTGGAATCTGGACAGTATTCATCACATGGATTTTACTAAGATTTTTTATGTCATGACGGTGTGAGGGTGTGTGTGCATAAATGTGGATACAAAAGAGATACACATCCACACCCGTTGTTTTTGTTAAAGGTTATGAGAAATCTTTCTATTGTTTTTACAATGAAACCAAGTGAAAATGATTTACGTGATCAAGTACCAATATCACTTGCTTTATTTAATTTAGGTTTACTGAATTGGTTTTTTTTGTGATTGCTCTCTCGATACATATTATCATATTGTTAGTGAATTAGCTCAAAATATTGATCAAGAAAGAGCGGATGTAATATTTTATATTTTCTTTTGTTGTTTTCTCAAGCGAAATATTTTATTACTTGTTTTAGTAGGTTGCTCCAAAAACATTATCTCGTCTAGTAGCTAGTTAACCAGTGGAATCAACTTATCATGATGTAATTAAAAAAACATTAGTTTTTGTTCATCAGTCATTACATACGTAAATTAAATGACGCATTACGTAGAAAAAGTGCAATAAATAAGACAATTAGCGTTATTTCAGGTAATTTTTAAAGATGTTATTCACCATTTTGTAAAAGTAATTTATAGAGCTTTTGCTTTAAATCACATATAAAGTGTTTAGATTGAAATAACAGCAGAAAAACGAGGGTGTCGGCGGGTGTGGGTGTGAGTATAGAAAAGAAAAGTAATACCCACACTTCGTACCCGCCCCAAATTTACCATTGACGTATAAAAGAAAGGCAAAGTGCCACTCCTATCAGATTCAAAGACTCGAGAAAATTGTTTGCACCATTGTTGACGGATATATTTTGTGTATATATACGAGGCACGCGGCTCGAGAAAGAAGAAAATACCTCTGATCTCGGCAATTTCGCCTCCCGAGCAACGTCGTCACCAGTTATTGTCTCGTTGTTTTGCTGCCCAATAAAAGTCACGCGAGTTCCGATCGGATACTTTCGATCGAGAGCGATCATAAGTTGATCCATGGAGATACGCCCAACGATCGGCAGTCGCGTTCCTTCCACAAGGACGCCAGTCGCTTTAAAGTATTGATGCAGTCCATCACCATATCCTATAGGTACCGTACCAATCCATTGAGTTTCTGTCGTTGTATATTCGCCTCCATAACCGATCTTCTCACTAGCATTCACTTGTTTGACGAGATCTAATGTTGAGTGAAGAGAAATAGCAGTTTGAAGACGGAAAGGAAGCAAGTATTTTAACAATTCATTCGGTGGCCCCGTCAACGCTTTCCCGCATCGAACCATGTTAAAGAATGGCTTCTCGACTTGATATAGTGTAGCACCTGAGTTTGCACAATGAATAATTTTTTCGGTTCGATTAGGAATTACTTCGAGAAACTCGTAGAAGCGTGCGAGTTGTTTTTGAAAATAAGTTCTGTTATTCACATCTTCAGAGGTGGCAAAGTGAGTAAAGACTCCAGATAAGTATAGATTCGGATTGAGAGATACAATCTTAATTACTTCTTGCACTTCGCCTAATGTCTTACAACCAAGCCTATTCAGACCTGTGTCGACCTTCAGATGAACGTCGATTGATTCCTGGACGAAACGAGTCGCTTCCTGAACCCATTCCAACGAGATGGCTGTCACTGTGATTCTAGAGCGACTAGCCAATGGCAAATGTTCCGGAGGGATATAGCCAAGAACCAGGATAGGAGCATCTTTTGAAAGTTGACGACGTAGAACAAGTGCTTCGTCCAGCGTAGCGACACCTAACCAGGTTGCACCAGATGAAAGAGCAGTACGACCTATCTCCAAAATTCCGTACCCATATGCATTGGCCTTCACGACAGCCATCAGATGCACCTTCTCTCCAATGAATGTTTTGATCTGACGAACGTTCAAACTAACCGCGTCAAGATCAACATCTATCCATGTAGGTCGGAGAAGAGAAGTCCATGCCCTAAATGAATAGGAGTGTAATAACGCGTCTTTCTCAGTCGGCAGACACAGTGAATTATTTGAGGATATTCCAATGCAGAAATCAAAATTATTTCGAAGCCTCTCAAAAGACTAATTCGTTCTCGTTTTACTGACCATCTTTCTGCTGCTTAGCAAGAAAGGAGTCATTGTATCTTGGATGGTATTAATTGATGTGCCCTAATAGAGTTTCTCATATTACATCCTAAATATGTCTTGTATTTTTGCTTTTATACTTAAAACTCGTTCTTATTAATTTAGACTTAACTGTTTGTTTTCTCACTCAGGAGATGATTTTTCTAGAAAAGAATTTGCAGTATCACGGTCTACGTAATGGATGAAGTTTTTCTCTTCACACTTTTTTCTGCGAACATCGAAAGGCGTTGGAACATCCCTCAGTACCTGATGACAGCATTCACCGTTTGATCCTAATTTATTCAGGAGACATTCAAATTCTTATGAAAGTAAGTACTTACGTTGTGCTGTTCGTCGTCACAGCAGTAATGTTAGAATCAGAGAAATTGAAGTCCGATCTGCCAAGAATAGGAATGGATACGGTACTGATGATCAAAACTAAACTGAGCATAAGAGGCATCACACTGTATCTATAAATGAAGAAATCGATAAATTAGATTGATGCTGATTGCAAAGAACTAAGAAACTGATTGACATAAACCTCTTTTATCCCAGTAAGTCATCGGCTACAATAGGATGGAGGAGAGAAAGAGTCATCTCTTAGGTAATCGATAATATAATTGGAATGCCAAGTGATTACTTTATTGAAGCAGTCCATCCTTGAATAGTGTGACAAACAGTACAATTATTTTCTACACTGTTTATCTCCTGTTTGGATAGTCGTTTCACTTTATTTCAAAGGAATGGATCAATGTTCTTATCAAGTATAGAAGACACCATAATTGGCTTTTATAGCACTCATTTCATTTGAAAGAATGTTGTTATTCAAGTTTGTTCGTCGAGATTTTCGCTTGCTACGAACAAATATAATTTTGCTAAGATTCTAGAGTTTATCTTTACAATGATGGACTGCAATTAACTATTTGATATCAAAACAGATTGCCTTATTTGAACTTACAAAAGAACACTCTTGATATGTCGTGGAGATCGCCTCGAGAGCTGATTAACCAAATCGACTCAAGCGCTTTTATATCAAACCAAATAAGCGCATAGGTTTGGTTGCTTCTGTGAAACATGCCGTCTTAAAATAAATTCAGAATGATTAATCCTAACAGAAAGATGTCAGCGCAGGCAAAGAGAACACATAAACCTACATCCACATTCTCTAGCGTGTCGTCTTTTGCTTTGATTTTTATGAACTATATTGATCGATTCTGTTGTCTGTTTAGTAATCATAACCCAAAATATACAAGTAACGTTCATCGACATTGAATGTCGATTCCCTTGGCCCTAGACTGACGGAATGACGACAAAGATGTCCTTATATTTTTAAATAAAAATGAATTCTGTATATTGATGAGTTTAGGACAAATTATTAATATTTGTAACATTCTCTATATTACATACTATACATGTATTCAAATAGTTCACAAAAAATATTAAAAGATGCTAATGTATACGAAAAAGTTTATCCTTTAGTTAATTATAACGACTAACATGGTGATTTG